TCTCTATCGGACGCACCGACAAACACACGGTGATTTATCACCGGGTTGAGTACGCTTTTTCTTTTTCTTTATTTTCTCTTTCTCTTTGTTCTCTTTTCTATGTGTCTATGTGCTTATGTGTTTATTTGCTTCTCTTTCGTTTCATGTGTTTTATGGTATTCACCGCATGAGCTTATATGATCTTGTTTTCCTTCCTTATACTTTGTTGGTTAAGCGATGAGGACATTGCTTTGTTTGAAGTGTGGGGGAGAGTTTTTTCGTGATTATGCATGCTTAAGTGGTGATTAGGTTGTATTAGGTGTTTATCTTTTTGTTTTTAGTATCTTGGACCGGTTTTGTTTGTTTTGTTTGTTTTTCTTATGTTTGTGTCAATTTCCCCATATAAGACTTGATGTGAGTCCAATAGTGCGAGATGATTAAGTGGCTAGATTGGATTGTCGTTCATTTTCATTATTAACTCTCATGCTTTATGTGCTCAATGATTTTGACGGTTTTTATAAAATGAGATGATTACTTGTTGGCATTGGAACTCGCATGTGGATTCACGGAATTTTCTTGTCCTTCGTTCGTTCTTGATTGATGAACTTGATCATGCTTACCTTATTCTCGATTGTTGTGTACAACGTGTTATGCTACACACTTTGATATGCTGTGATTAATTTGTGACGTTTATGATTGTATTCGTGATGTATCTTTGTGTACCACCCCCTTAAAAAAAAAAGGAATAAAAAGTGAGTTCGCGAGGAAGTACTGATTAGGCTCCTCTTATTCCGAACCACCTCGTGGATTGGAGTAATGAGCCCGGGAAACCGGTCTAGGAAACTCGAGGAAACCCCTCAAGGCCACACCTAGATAAGCTACATCGTGGAAACCTCGTTTGGAAAAAAGTTCTCACGGAAAAAAAAAGAATATATATAAAAAAAAATATAAAAATGAGAAGAAAATCGGGGGTTGGCTTACGGTCTTGTTCTATCGCTTCATATATCTTGAGTTGATCGTTTTTTTTAGTTTTTGCACGTTAACATTGTAAAAAGAAAGTGTGACTTAGGTGAATCATGATTGAGTGAGTTGGGGCTTGTTTTTATTTCGTTGAGTTCATATGTGGGAACCGTGCCCTCGAGTTTGAATTGACTTTTGTGAATAACCGGATGACAATGAGAGCTACATGATGCATGTTTGCTAATTTTGGACCGTTCGATCTCTCCTTCCGAACTACTTGTTATTTTGTTTGCTTGAGGACAAGCAAAGAATTAAGTGTGGGGGAGTTGTTTATTGTGTTTTTGTGCTTCTTTTTATGTGTTTTATGTGTGTAGTTGAGTCGGTTTTAGGTTGGTTTTCTTGTCTAACCGGTCCATTTTAGTTGATTCCGTGTGTTTCCCTTTTTCTCTTTGGTGTTTGTAATTTGGCATACTTTCTCGTGTCTTTGGTGCAATTTTTAGGTCCATTTTGGAAGATGAGTGAGAAGAATCGAGCCAAGTTCCGAGAGCATGAACCATTCCGAGAGTCCCCGAGCCATTATCGTGTAAGAGATCCGAAAGTCTAGTTCGCGTAGCGAACGTGCTCGCCGCATAGCGAGTGTGCACAAGACCCACAAGACCAGTTCGCCTAGCGAACGTGTTCGCCGCCTAGCGAGTGTGCACAAGATCACAAGACCAGTTCGCCTAGCGAACGCGTTCGCCGCCTAGCGAGTGTGCACAAGACCACAAGACCAATTCGCCTAGCGAACTAGTTCTCTACCTAGCGAGTGCTAAATTGTTAAATGTGTGTGTTTTAGTGTGTGTTTGTGGTGTAGCTATATAAAGACATTATGCTTTGTATTTTTGAAACAACCCTCATTTCCCAACTTTTAAGTTGGGAAAATCCTCTCTACTTTCTTTTTTCTTTTTTACTTTAGTTTGGAGCTTTATGGATCATGTTTTCCGACGAATTTCCGGCGACGTTGTTTCGAGTAAAGTTTCGAGCTTTTGACTTCGTTTCTCTTCCCAAGTGCGTGTAAGAGTGGGTATTTAGTCTTAAGCCCCATTACTTCGTATATCTTTGTTTGCTTTTTGTGAAGATTGATATTGTGCTTGTGTTGATTGGAGGAAAAGATTGAATCTTTAGATCGAGAATGCTTGACTAAGTGTGCTTAGGAGTTGAATGCTTGCTCGTCTTGTGCTAGAGTTTGGTTTAGCTTCCTAGGGTTTTAGCTAGCATGGCAATGTTCGGTTATTTGCGTGTGTTTGAGCATAGAGACTCCGGCAAACCAAAATCTCTCTTCCCCCCATGATTTCTCTTATCTTCTTGCGTGCTTAGTTAATTGCTTTCAATTGCTCTCATTTCGTAGTTTAATCTAGCTTAAATTCAAACTCTCAAATTGCGAGTAGAATGTTTAGGACCTTTTCGGTTGTGTGATTTTGACGACTAGGTAGTGAACGAAGCTCCGAAGAGCCTTCCTTTGAGAACGACCCGAGTCGGGTAACTCGGTTACCACATGCCCAAAAATACTACAAACACATATATGGAGGTTAAATGAAGAATTTTTATACATATTTTCCTTACGGGTAGTTTAGAAAAATTTAGGTAGTTTCAAATATTATTTGTGAATATTATAGAATATTTTAGATGCTTTTATAGATGTTATAAAATATTTTAAGTATTTTTAATATTTATATATCACACTTAAAAGGAATATTTTGCCAAAAAAGAAAACATTAAATACACAGTGTAAATGTTAATAGAATCAGTCTTCAGTGTTCGTCTTTGATTTTGTTAAAACAAATCTCATAAAATCTTTGAAGTCAAAATTTGTACGTAAAGTTTATCTATACTAAAAAAAAGGTAGATTCAAAATTCATTATCTAATTTTTTCTTTTCCTTATCTAATTCCTGCTTATTATCTATTTGTATATAAATCTGTTCTGATTTTGTTCAATCCTCTAATTGTATTTGTATTATATTCCATAAAATCGGTTTAACAAAAAAATCCCATAATATCCGATAAGTAAAAAAAAGTACGTTAAATCTTTACTAAAATAAAAAAAGCTTTGTTTATTATCTAATTGTATAGAAATTTGTTCTGATTTTATAGTACGTACTACAAATTGTGCACCCGTGTTCAGGAGCTACTTAACGGGCAAGCTCTGTGGAAATAACTCATTTAGTGCTTCTGTCACGTGCATACGGTATGTATTTGTATTACAAATACTAGAAAATTGTGCACCCCGTGCATCGCACCGACTCTTTACTAATAAATGACCTTAAAATTGTGCATCTCGTGTATCACCCGTGTTCACATTTTGGCCTATTACATGTCACGTACTATATATATCCCGTACATTTTTCTTTATTCATTTATATAATTACAATTTTGCTAAGGAACCAGATGGTTGGTTTCCTTATGGAACCAACCACCAATGAGACAGCTCCACATGGGGCTGTCCCACATTTTCATGTGGGACAGCCCCATGTGGAGCTGTCTCATTGGTGGTTGGTTCCATAAGGAAACCAACCATCTGGTTCTATAGAAAAACTGTATATAATTATAAGACTTGAAAAATGACTTTAATTTTGTGCACCCCGTGCATCGCACGGGATCTGTACTAGTAGTCCCCGATAATCCGCGATTAAAACCACTTTGCATCGCGGGCCTCATCTAGTTGGGCGGGCCATAATCTTGAAAAACAAACGACCAATTATGGGCAGATTTGGACCACAATCCTGTCTGTCTTGGCTAACAAACACGCGTATACCCCTGCATAAACCCTCAATAAAATCCTACTAGTATTCATCATGTGCACATGCACAAATAAAAATAAAAGTTTATATATTATATTTATGTATATAATATATAAAATTTTATATTAGTTAATTGATGTATTACATTTTAAATTTTGACTACATGCAAATGTGTAATGTAAATATAATTTATTTAACTTACGTATGAATCTTTATATTGATGCCATAAATTTTAATGGTTAATATAATTTAGTAATTTAGAGGGACCATACAATTAATTAGTTAGAAAAATATTACAATTATTTTTATCATTGTTATAGCATTTGTTTATGTGATTTTAAGATGTTTAATTATGACACTCATGTCAATTAATTAATATTATATAAAAATCGCTTAAAAATAACAAAAAATATTTCATTTTAGAAAAAGTATTTTAAAGAAAAAAATTGCAATACAATTTTTTATAAGTATGTAATTTCCACATACTATTTAATGTAAAATTGTAATCAATTAATGTTAGTAGTGAATAAATTATATTCAAATTATTATTACACTTTATTAATGTAAAATGTAACGGTTTTACATTAATTGAAAAAATAAGCGGGAAAAGGAATAGGGGTTTTATTAAATGTTTTATTAAATGCTATATGCCAGCAATTATATATATATATAGATTCACTTTGCCAATTCTAGGACAGTCGGACCTTTTTTCTTTTACGCAGTGTTTGGTTCGAGGGAAGCTGGGGGGAGGGGAAGGGAGGTGGGGGAAAATTTTTATTTTCCTTCGTTTGGTTCAGTAGTCTGAGGGGAGAAGGGGATGAGATTTTCCCCTCTATTCACTGTGCGGAAGGAAAAACTACACCCCTCCAATTTTGGGGGAATTTGGAGGGGAAATAAAGCTTTAGTATTGATTTGACTGATATACCCTTCTTAACTAACTATAATTATAAAATTACCTTATATAAATAAACATAATATTACATAATAAATAAGAGTATATTTGTCATTCTAACATTATTTTCTCTCCCCTTCCATCTTCTAACCAAACAAGGTTAATCATTTTCTTTCACCTCCCCTTCTACAAAATTCTCCCCTTCTACAAAATTCATCCAAACAAGATAAATTATTTTCCCTCCCTTTCCCTCCCCTCCCCTCCCTTCCATTAAATTCCCTCCCCTCCCCTACCCTCCTTTTAACCAAACATACCCTTATACAGAAACAGTTTTCTTGCCAATTAATCGTTACATTTTGCTTTCCTGTCCTCAGAATCAGTCGCCGTTGGGATGGCGTCACTATCGGAGCTCAATGACGACATAATTCGTAGAATGGCCGTCGGTGCTATTTACTCAGATTTCGTCAGTTTCTGTTGAACCCTTTTATCTTACTTTTATTGAATTTACAATTTTCGAAGGTTTAAATTCGAGCTAAATTGTGTGATTTGTGAATCGCAATTACTGCAAGTAGTAAAAAACATATGCTGGTAGGTTATGTGATGTTGATTCCTTTAAAAGTGCAGCTGCTAGTAGCAAAATTTACTTTCTGTGCTTGCAGGGCTTCGTTTATTGTTCAGGAATGTAAATTCCAAAGACTTTCTGAATATTTTCTGTTCTGTTGTTGGTTAATTGTTTGAGAAAGTATTTCGGTAGAGTTCGATTATGAAGCATTTTTTTTATTATGCGTTTCAGAGATGGAAAATCAATTCTTTAGATTTCCACCGGACAGCTGATTTGTTGGTGACATCAAGCGACGATGATTCGGTGCTTCTGCTAAGTAAGACATTTGAGTTGCTGTCTTTTTTTCTCTTTCTCTTGCTTCCTTTCACTCTAATGTCTTATTTCCTTTTTTTAATTGTGTTCTAATTATCCAGATTGCTGAAGACGACATATCATAAAAAACATGGGGCCGACAGGATATGTTTCACTCACCACCCAAGTTCCATAATTTGCTCTTCGAAAAACTTGGATTCTAATGAAGGTAGCATAGTTTAGCTACATTTTGACAGTATGCAAATTGCCTGAGAAGCTGGTTCTGATTTTTTCCCCTATCGTTTTTCTTTGGCAGAGTCTTTGAGGTATCTGTCAATGTTTGATAATAGGTGCCTTCGATACTTCAAGGGGCACAAAGAGAGGTAAATGCTTCAGATTTGTTTGGTCTGAAAGTGAAATTTATGTTCCATCATTTCTGTGTATCTACTAACTCAGCATCACAAGTATGGATTTTCTGGTAATAAATTCTAATATAGGTGATAATCTCACATTCCCATAAATTGAAAAGTCCTTTTAGTTTGATGTAGGGCTCGGGTACCACTGGTTTGCCATCAGTGCCGGCTCTTGGGCCAGACAAGCCAGGCAGGAGCCTAGGGCCACAATATTTTAGGGGCCTCCTCATACATATATATGTCTATAGACTATATTTCATACTTTCTGTTGTGCTTTTTTTTGTTATGTTGGCTGAACCCAAATTTCATTTACATCCATTTATACTTGTAGATATATTTTATTATGTTAGTTGGGCCTAAATTCCATTTATACTTCCATTACATACTAATTTCATTTCAATTAGTTTATCTTGCTTTATATAAAAATAATAATTAATTATAAATAAACAAATAAGAACTATCTCTTATTAATAAGTTATTAATTAATTATAGATAAACAAATAAGAACTATTTGTTATTAATAAGTGAGTAAATGAAAATAAATTATATTAATATACATGTATAGTAATCATTAATTTTTTAATTTAAAAAGTTTTTATATATTAATTTACTTATCTTTTTCATATTTATCGTATTTTTCATATTTATCAGTGCCAATGCTTGTTATTATTTGTGTAAGAAACTGGGGAAAACGGGTGCGGTCTTATTATTTGTGTAAGAAACTGGGGAAAACGGGTGCGGTCCCACTAACATGACACGCACCATGAGAAGGGAAAGCCTATATGAAGGCCAAGTAGGGTTTTATCCCAAAACCAATTGTGGAAGGAGGAGTAGCCCATTAGACTTATAATGTGGGTCTATTTTCCATGTATGAACGATGTGGGACTCACAAGTGATATTCTAACAATTTGTTCAAATAAAAAAAATAAAAATATCATTGCGGCCACTCTTAAAAAAATTGTCTGGGGCCTCCAAATTTCTGGAGACGGCCCTGTTTGCCATGTTCTAAAGCATTTGCACTGCTATTTGGTTTAAACCCTTATGCAAACTTATTTAGATATGTTGTATGGTGAAGTTTTACTGCAATATGTAGTGCTTCCCAGAAATGAGTTGTAGGAGTGTATTATGTAGCGTGGATAGCATGCATTTCACAAATCAGAAAATCTATGTTTTTGTTTTTTATTTTTTTTTATTTTTTTTTATCATTATTTGGAACAAATTTTCTTCAGAACAATTGTTTGCCTGGAATTTCATCTGTATAATCAATAATGTACATTCTCTGTATGTCAAGTTGGATACTTGTCCCTTGAAATTTTGCTCATTTGAATTGTAGGGTAGTATCCCTGTGCATGTCTCCAGTCAATGATGGCTTCATGTCTGGTTCTCTAGACCACAGTGTTCGAATGTGGGATCTTCGTGTAAATGCTTTTATTTTCAGTCATTCCAATTTTAGAGATGCTCCAATACCTTCAAGTAAGTTTCTCCACGAATAAATCAAACATGTCCGCAAACAAATCAAATAAGTTTTCCACGAATAAATAACATGATACCTCCACGAGCAAATCAAATATTTCCACGATCACATCCAATAATCCCTCGATCAAATTAAATATCATCGCGAACAAATCAAATATCACCCGAACAAATCAAAGATATTCATAGATAAATCATATAATATCTCCACACATGGGAAAAAGGGAACACAAAACAAAGAGTAGGAAATATAGTATTATAATATACCTGGGAAAACGCCAGCAAAGCCATCGGCCTTCTCCTTCTCGATCAAAAAACAAAGAGTAGGAAATATAGTATTATAATATACCTGGGAAAACGCCAGCAAAGCCATCGGCCTTCTCTTTCTCGATCAATTCATCAATAGGCATAGCAGTGATGGACTTTGTCCTGTCCCAATAGAGAAGATGATGAATACATGTTCGTACCCATCCCTAACCGATGTCCTGTTTCTTTTCCAATAGCTACCTGATCACTTGGTATATATTGATCCAGCATGAGCCATTTCCTTTGCAGAAAATGAAAATGAAAAAAAAAATAAAAAAATGAAAGGCATATTGCATCCCGTAAAGTTTATATAATAGAAGGGTGTAGCAATTGAAGCTTTATTCTATCATGGTGAATGGTAGTTATCTGCCTGGAAACTCGTTCAGCATATAAAACACAATAGTAAACAAGCTATGAACATTCTCTAGTAGAAATTGGTCACAGTTCAACTCTTATACCCCAAACAATTAACCGAAATAGGTAGATATAATCGTACCAGTTATCATTTTAACATTTATGCCCAGGTTCAGAGCGATAAGAGGGTCAAATAATGGCAAGAGCCCTAAAAGTTTCCATGGATCCCCGGATTTCTCTTTCCTTCCTTCAAGAACTTCCTGTAGAGCAAGAAAAATATTTGCTAATTCATAACAATAATTAGCTTCACCCACACCTATACATGCCTTCAAATTCAAATGAAACTTTAGGTTAACTATAACGTTATTATTAATTTATTACTTTACCTGGTATGCAACCGCTAGTGATCTTAGTTCTCGCTCGGCAAACTTATTGATGCCCGAATGGACTCGTCGCTCAATCTCATGTTTGTTATACGTGAGGTCCAGTATCTAGGAACGAAACATGGTATGCATTGGTAAAGAGAAACTTAATAACTAAAACCGAAAGATGTTATCGATGAAAAATGTTCTGACAAACCTGTCAGCAAAAGTAAAGAGCAAGCACGAAGCGAGAACTTTCACTCGTTTCAAGAAATAGGTCAGCGTGTCAGGGGGCTCGATGCATTTTACCTTTACTATCAATGTAAGTCAATGCAGTGCGCATATCAGTTGGATTGAATGGTAAGAAATGGACCTCCTGAATTCTGGCATTGCCTTTTTGCTCGAAAGACATAATATATAGTTAGAATTAGAAAATGATAAGTGAGTAAACCAAACGAGAAATTATATAGTTTCCCAATCTTTGTGTACTAGAGATCTATATAAAACTTCATGCCCAGACCACAAGAGAAAATAAATAAGTAAATAAATAAATACATATAGTCATACCTCCTTGGGATCAGCCAACATCCCCACAATTGAAGAAAAAAACAAGAATGGAGAAAGGAATCATATCACCCAATTTTAGACTAATAACATCTCCAAGAACAAGAACGGCTGCATCTTCCTCATTCCAACGCCCATCGCGAAGAACTTAAGGATAATTTTATTCAATCATAATCTTGTAGTGGACAAAGAATCAACAATTATGAGAACAGATATAAACCTTTGCTTTAGATGCAAGACGAGCAATTAGGGCACCAGCCGCATTCCTGGCATTGTTTTCCTTTATGAAACTTATGGTAGAGTTAATCACAAAATGCCGGGAATGCGGCTGGTGCCCCAATTGCTCGTCTTGCATCTAAAGCAAAGGTTTATATCTGTTCTCATAATTGTTAATTCTTTGTCCACTACAAGATTACGATTGAATAAAATTATCCTTAGGTTTTTCGCGATGGGCGTTGGAATGAGGAAGATGCAGCCGTTCTTGTTCCAGGAGATGTTATTAGTCTAAAATTGGGTGATATTATTCCTTTCTCCATTCTTGTTTTCCTCTGCGATTGTGGGGATGTTGGAAGGAGCTATGATTATATGTATTTATTTATTTTCTCTTGTGTTCTGGGCATGAAGTTTTATATAGATCTCTAGTACACAAAGATTGGGAAACTAGATAATTTCTCGTTTGGTTTACTCACTTATCATTTTCTAATTCTAACTATATATTATGTCTTTCGAACAAAAAGGCAAGGGCCAGAATTCAGGAGGTCAATTTCTTACCATTCAATCCAATTAATAAGCTTACTGCATTGACTTACATTGATAGTGAAGGTAAAATGTATCGAGCCAGCAAGGGAGCCCCTGAACATTTTTATCGATAACATCTTTCGGTTTTTGCTATTAAGTTTCTCTTGACCAATAAATGCCATGTTTCGTTCCTAGATACTGGACCTCGCATATAACAAACATGAGATTGAGCGACGAGTCCATTCGGTTATCGATAAGTTTGCCGAGCGAGGACTGAGATCACTAGCGGTTGCATACCAGGTGAAGTAATAAATTAATAATAACGTTATAGTTAACCTAAAGTTTCATTTGAATTTGGAGGCAAGTGTAGGTGTGGGTGAAGCTAATTATTGTTATGAATTGAAAAACATTTTTCTTGCTCTACAGGAAGTTCTTGAAGGAAGGAAAGAGATCCCCGGGGATCCATGGAAACTTTTAGGGCTCTTGCCATTATTTGACCCTCCTAGGCATGACAGTGCTGAGACTATGAGGAAGGCTCTGAACCTGGGCATAAATGTTAAAATGGTAACTGGTACGATTATATCTACCTATTTCGGTTAATTGTTTGGGGTATATGAGTTGAACTGTGACCAATTTCTACTAGAGAATGTTCATAGCTTGTTTACTATTATGTTTTATATGTTGAACGAGTTTCCAGGTAGATAACTGTGATGAACGGCGAAGAGGATGACCAGAAGTCGCCGACGGTCGAGGAAAAAAGGGAAAAAATCGTGACTTTAGGGTTAGGGATTTGAGTGCTTCTGAAAATGGGGTATTTACTTGTTAGGTTTAATATTGGTATTTGGGCTATGGTTTTGGGCTATATTTACATAGTTTGTGAGGTATTATCTTATGCAAGTTAAGTGGGGCCGGTTAGGGTTACTTTGTTAGCCCAACTAACTATCTCTATTTGTAGTTCCAATCAATGAAGTAAAGGGAAAGAAATGTCATTTTCTCTAACTACTTTATCTCTCCTCCCTCCTCTCTCAACACGTTTTCCCTCATTTGTTTCTTCTTCTCCAATCTACTCAAAATCAAGCTAAATTACAGTAAAATAATATAAGAAAAATACAAAATATATCAGCCCACTACAATTGGTATCTCAGAGCTCTCGATCCTTGGAGTATGGCCGAAAACACACGTTTGAAGGATCTGCAGGAAAATCAGAAAAGATTAGATCAGTTCATACACACCGAATCCATGAAAAGATGAAAAGGGAAGCAGTGGATGTTAAATTGCATGAACAAATGATGGGAATGGGATCTGAATTGCAGGAAAAGATCTCAAGCATCAACAATGAATTACAACAACTGGGCAACTTAGACATCAAATATGATCATGTGTCTAACGCGCTAGCAACCATACAGCTTCAGCTACTGAACTTGAGCAAAGGTAAAGAAATCCGAGGAGAGGAATCTATTCTGGGAACTCCCTCTTTGCAGCATTCTACTGGTGGGAGGCCACCATTCAAACAACCTCAGATGAACAGGACACCTTTGCAGTTGGAAAACCCTTCACCAAATCACTTTACCAGCCCTTTACCCAAGGTAGATTTTCCTAAATTTGATGGGTCAAACCCCAGGGGATGGATTCTCAAGTGCCATGTGTATTTCCAGATTATTCCTAATATCCCCGATGGACAGAAAATTGTATTAGCCTCTATGCACTTTGATGGCAAAGCAGCTCAATGGTACCAGACCTTCTGTACCAAATTTGAGGGCTGTACATGGCAACAGTTTTTGGAGATAATTTCCTCTAGATTTGAAGAAATTAGGGAATCCAGAATTATTGGTGAATTTAACATGCTAAAACAATCTGGGCCATATGAAGATTATGTGGAGAAATTTGAGGAATTAAGGTCCTGTATGCTGCTTTTCAACAGGGGTGAATTCTCTGAGGACTACTTTGTTGCAAGCTTCTTAAGTGGGCTGAGTGAGGAGGCTCAATCTTTTATTAACATGTTTGACCCTAAAACCTTGCAGCAGACCATAGAGTTGGGAAGGAAACAACAGTGCACAGTGGATGCAATAGTGAAAAGGGTCAAGGTCCCTTATAAACCCCCAAATCAAGTCTTACACAACACAGGAAGAATGACCACCAAGCTTCTAAAGTTCCCAACACTAGTGTTCAGTATAAACCACCAATCAAAATGTTGCTGGCAGCAAGGAGAGAAAAGGGTTTATGCTATAATTGTGATGAGCCCTATGTGGTGGGGCATAGGTGCAAAAACAAAATAATTTATATGATTATGACAGAGGATGAAGAGTTTTCATATTTGGGTTTGGAAAGGGAAACTGAGGAAGCACAAGAGGGAACATGCATTGAAGAAATACAGATGTCTTTGAACTCACTCACAGGGGACAAGGTTTAACTGCTATGAGGTTCATTTGAGAGTGTAATGGGCAAAAGTTACACATCCTCATTGATTCTGGAAGTACTCTGAGTTTTATCAAGAAGACACAGCCCAAAAACTAGGTTGTTCCCTTCAATCAGTCAAACCAGTCATGGTCAGAGTGGCTAATGGACAGAGAATGGTGAGTTCTCAAAAGGTGGATGGTTTTCAGTGGGTAATGCAAGGTCATTGTTTTAATTATTCCATGAGGTTGCTGAAGACTGAAGGTTGTGACCTCATTTTGGGAGGAGACTGGCCTGCACACCCATCACTCTAGATTATGATAAATGACAGTCACTGTCACAATGTAGAAGAAAAAGATCAAGTTACAAGCCATCACTTCTAAGTAGAACTGTAATTTCATTTCAGGAGAGGCTCTGTTCAAAATGGTGCACCAAGATAGCACTCAGATTGAGGAGATTTTTCTTTTGTCCATTGAAGAAGACAACCCAATGGTGGACACTAAGCTACAGGAATTACTCTCCCATTTTGAAGACATTTTTAAAGAGCCACAAGGGCTACCACCAGAGAGGGGAATAGTGCATCAAATCATCCTTAAGGCTGACAGTGTACCAATGCATCAGTTCCCTTATAGGACTTCTCATGATCAGAAAAATGAAATAGAAAAGTTGGTCAAAGAAATGCTTGAGGCAGGGATCATCCAGAATTCTAAAAGCCCTCTTTTGCTTCACCTGTTAAGCATGATTATCCAATTCTCATAATTGATGAATTGCTGGATGAGATGCATGGTTCCAGGTACTTCTCTAAAATAGACTAAGGTCTGGCTATTTTCAAATTTTGATGAAGACAGAGCACAGAGAACTCACAGCTTTTGCCACACACAATGGCCACTATGAGTTTTTGGTTATGCCATTTGGCTTGTGCAATGCACCAGCCACTTTTCAGTCACTAATGAACTAGGTTTTCAGACCTATCTAAGGAAATTTGTGTTGGTTTTCTTTGATGACATTTTGGTCTATAGCCCCTGTTGGCAATCACATCTCATGCATTTGGAGACAGTGTTAAGGCTCCTAAGAGAAAATCAGTTGTATGCTAAGTTGTCTAAATGCCAGTTTGGTCAAACTGAGGTTAAATACCTTGGGCATATCATTTCTTATCAAGGTGTAGCTACAGACCCAAAGAAGGTATCCAGCATGCTAAGTTGGCCAAATCCAAAAAAATTCAAGCAGCTCAGGGGGTTTTTGGGTTTGACAAGTTATTACAGGAGATTCATTAAGGGATTGAGAACAAAGTGGCTGATGCCTTGTCCAAGAGGGATAATCCTGACATTGAATGCTTAGCTATCACTACCATTAAACCTTTGTGGATGCAACAAGTCATTGATAGCTATGGGCAGGATCCTTTCTGTCAGAAAATCATTCAAGCACAATCTGCAGGGGAGAATCCATATCCAGGGCTTGTTGTTCAGGGTGGACTCATCAGATTTAAAGGGAGAGTCATGGTGGGGTCTGATGTGTCCCTAAAGGAGAATTTGTTGCACACTATGCATAATTCTTCCTATGGAGGACATTCTGGAGTAAATGACACATACATGAGACTGAAAAGAAGTTTCTATCGGCCTCTACTGAAGAAGGATGTTGTGGCATGGGTGAAATCATGTGAAGTGTGCAAGAAAAACAAACCTGAGGCTGGGGCTTATCCTGGACTACTGCAACCTCTACCCATACCTACCCAAGCTTGGACTCACATATCCATGGATTTCATTGAGGGCTTACCAAAATCACAAGGCAAAAATGTGATCTTGGTTGTGGTGGATAGATACTCTAAGTATGCACATTTTTTGCCCTTATCTCATCCTTTTCAGCACAAGATGTGGCTAAGGTTTTCTTGGGCTCTATTTACAAGCTTCATGTCCAGCCTATACACGTAGTCACTGACAGAGACAAGATATTCACTAGCCATTTCTGGAAGGAACTCTTCAAATTAATGGGAGTAAGCTTGGATATGACTTCAGCCTACCACCCACAATGTGATGGTCAGACTGAAAGAGTCAACCAGTGTGTTGAGACTTATCTCAGGTGTATGGTGCATGAAAATCCTAAACAGTGGCTGAAGTTGCTAAGTCTGGCTGAATATTGGTATAACACCAATTTCCACACCAGCTTAAAACTCACTCCATTTAGGTCCTATATGGTTTTTCTCCTCCTAATTTTGCTACCGGGCCTTTTTTAGATGCAACTAATGCAGATGCTCATGACATGATTCTACAAAGGCAGCTAATTTCCCAACAAGTCAAAGAGAATTTGCAAAAAGGACATAATGAAATATTTTGCAGACCAACATAGGAAAGAAAGAAGTTTTGAAGTTGGGGATGATGTTTTCTTGAAATTGCAACTATTCAAGCAGAATTCAGTGTCATTGAGAAAGAATCTGAAACTCTCATCCCGCTATTTTGGGCCTTATACAGTTTTGGAGAAAATAGGTTCAGTTGCATACAAATTAGACTTGCCCCCGGATTCAAAAATTCATCCTGTTTTCCATGTCTCATTGCTTAAAGGAAAGGTGGATCTAAAAAATTTACCTTCCACTGAGCTTCCTGATGTTGATGTCGACAGCCACTTCAAGATCCAACCTTTGCGCATCCTGGACACTCGTACAATCCGCCGCAAGGGTGAAACCATCAGTCAGTCCCTAGTCCAATGGGCTAACGCCGATCCATCACAGCCAACTTGGGAGGATGACTCATACCTCCGCCGTAAATTTGCAGACTTGGGACCTTGGGGACAAGCTCCGATCTCGGCCGGGGGTATTGTGATGAACGGCGAAGAGGATGACCAGAAGTCGCCGACGGTCGAGGAAAAAAGGGAAAAGATCGTGACTTTAGGGTTAGGGATTTGAGTGCTTCTGAAAATGGGGTATTTAGTTGTTAGGTTTAATATTTGTATTTGGGCTATGGTTTTGAGCTTTATTTACATAGTTTGTGAGGTATTATCTTATGCAAGTTAAGTTGGGCCGGTTAGGGTTACTTTGTTAGCCCAACTAACTATCTCTATTTGTAGTTCCAATCAATGAAGTAAAGGGAAAGAAATGTCATTTTCTCTAACTACTTTATCTCTCCTCCCTCCTTCTCTCTCTACACGTTTTCCCTCATCTGTTTCTTCTTCTCCAATCTACTCAGAATCAAGCTAAATTACAGTAAAATAATATAAGAAAAATACAAAATATATCAGCCCACTACAATAACTACCATTCACCATGATAGAATAAAGCTTCAATTGCTACACCGTTTTATTATTAAGTTTACGGGATGCAATATGCCTTTCATTTTTTTTTTTCATTTTCATTTTCTGGGAAATGGCTCATGCTGGATCAATATATACCAGCTAGCTATTGGAAAAGAAACAGGACATCGGTTAGGGATGGGTACGAACATGTATCCATCATCTTCTCTATTGGAACAGGACAAAGATGAGTCCATTACTGCTATGCTTATTGATGAATTGATCGAGAAGGCCGATGGCTTTGCTGGCGTTTTCCTTGGTATATTATAATACTATATTTCCTACTCTTTGTTTTGTGTTCCCTTTTTCCCCTGTTGTGTCAGATTTTTTTAAAAATTTTATATTTCTCTTCATCTCAGAGCATAAGTATGAAATCGTCAAGCGTTTGCAAGCTCGTAAACATATATGTGGGATGACCAGGGATGGGGTGAACGATTCTCCTGGCCTCAAAAAGGCTGATATTGGATGACGGCGACGAGATCGCATTGGCGTACTTTGACAAGTTTGATCGCCTTCATATCTAGTTATTTATTTATTTAGTATTTTTAACCTTTGTTATTTATTTCCTATGTTTAGGATATTTATTGCTTAAATAAGTTAGGGTTTGGAGTCTATTTAAAGGAGAAGAGTTCTCTTTGTTAGATGGTTTTTACAATTGAAATAAAATCTATTACTATATAATAAGGCTAAGATAAATTATTCAAAAAACTCGAAAAAAAAAAATACACTTTCATTTTCCCGCTTTTTTATGTCATTTTCCCGCATTTGTTTTTTGTTTTTTTACCATTTCTGAAATTTTATTTTGAATTTTTTCACATGTCCCGGGCTAACATATTTGGTAACTAATTGATTGCGATTTCCATGCGTGTAGGGGAGGAGTTTGGTAAGATTTGTTAAGATTTGGTAAACAATATCATCCGATTTCAATTGCATGTGATTTTTTTTTTTTTTTTTTTTTTGAAATTTGAAAATAAAATCTTGCTTATTTATCTAAAAAAAATCCTCTTAATTTGGTATTTTGCGATTCTTTCCCATACATCCCATAAACCCTCACCCCCACAGCATCGCTCCCTTGGCCTCCTCCCGTGGCGCGCCGCCGGTGGACTCTCCACCATCAGCTCAATGGCCAGCGACGAGAGTGGCTCCCACGTGCCCCCTTATCCCACCACATTGCGCTCGAGAAGCAGTCGACGACTTTCGGCGACAACTTTCGGCACCAGCTCGACGGCTCCGACGGTCTGCGCTAGAGTATTTGAGGCGTCGACTTGGAGATTGAGTCCGTCACGAGGATTAGCTTGTGGTTTGCTTATTCACCGGTCTCGCCCTTTAACATTTGATTTTCTCTGATTTTTTAGCTTTTGCTCTGTTTTTCTACCTTTTTTTAGAACCGCATCTTTACATTTATGTAATGCCTGGTTTTTCTCCTTCCTTTAAAAGGTGTTGATGGCAGAAGAGGGCTGGTCGCAAATGAAGCAAGCTAGCCGACTTCTTCTCGACGGCCGCAAGGCGGTGCTGGCCGGTTTTCATGGTTGTTGGATGCTTGCTGCCGGGCTGGTGGTTTAGAGGACATGACCGAAATTCTGGTGCAAGGCTGCTGAAGGCGGAATCGGATCCCGCTTGATGTCGCGTGGGATGTTTTCTTTTTCGGGTATCTATCTCTTTTTCATTTTCCTTCATTTATGTTTTTGTATTTGTACTTTTCTCAGTTATTTATTGCTTGTTTACTTATTTTGTATTTGATCCTAATTTGTTTGTTTTCCCTCTTTCTATCCTGTTTTTGGTGCATTGTTTGTATTTGAGTCTTTCAACTGAGATGGACATTGCTTGTATTTGGTGATATTATTGGCATCTGATTAGTGCATGGTTGTATTTACGAAAAATAGCTTTTGGATGTGAACAATTTTTATTGTTGAAGTATGATCTCAGGGAGATTATAGTTTGTTTTTCTTAATTCCCAATCGTGGCATTGCACTTGCGGCGATGCGAATCATGGAATGTCATTTGGTGCAAAACATGAAATATTTGAGTTGATCCAGCAGCTGACTTTTGCCTTTTTTTTATAACTGTTGACACACAATTATGTAAAACTTAATTTTTTTTTTTTAAGGAAAATTCCAAGACACGATAAAGTTGATGGCAAAATGCGGTTATCAGAGGAAATGAATGAAAACGATAAGCTGAATTAACAACAATGTCTTTTGCCAAGAAGAATCGTGTTATTGTGTTAGGCATTTGATCGTTCCTTATCACTTTTTGCAAATTTCTATTTAAGTATTTACTCCAATGCAGGTGGCCCGGTCCAGTCCTAGTGAGTACCATTAAATTGTACTCTAAAAACAGTTCTTTTTTTTAATATCTGTTGGTCACTGATTTGTCCCCACAAAAATGCTTCTGTTGTTATGTAGGGTGCTATGGAGGATAGATTTTCAGTTTATGTTCATTCAAGGCCAGGGTTCTCATTACATGCAGGAACGACAAAATCAAAGTACTTTTTGAATCGTCAAATTAATGATAGTATACAGGTTTTGCTTCCAGTTAATATCTTTATTTTTTTCTAATGATAATTTTACGCTGTCAGTCCATATGTTATTTAAACGTAGATCTGAATCTAGGAGTCTGTTTATTCTGTGTGCTGCAATTGATATATATATACATATAGCAAGGATGCTTCATTTTCAGGTAGATTGGGGTCAAGCTAGCATGATCCAGGCTGAACGTATTTTGCTCCAAAATGCATTAGTTGACCAGTTTAATGAACGCTTCATTTTCCTCTCAGACAGGTACAAGTTTGATCTTGCTGATGGTTATTTCATTGGTTTCCATTCCCAGGATTTGTAGGAAATTTCTCTGTTCGATTGTAACGAAAGTCTGAAAATTTCATTTATTATCTGAGTTTCCAAGTCAAGTCAAGTTGTTTCTGATGTTCTTTCCTATCATGTTACAGCTGCATACCTTTGTATAATTTCAGCTACACATACGACTATATAATGTCTGTTTCAACTAGCTTTGTGGACAGGTTAGTGAGGACATATATATGGCTCATTGGGTTCCTTTACATAGTTATTCACATATTACCAGCTTTGGGATCTGTTTTGGTGATTGTTTCTTCTTCATTTTTTTTTTCCTCCTTATAAATGTCACACTCACTGCCACCCAATCTGTTCTATGACAATCTAATGTTCTTGCAATAATGGAATCAGCTTTATTGACCCAGACCATGACCGCTACCATCCAAAAATGCATCCAGCGATTCCTGTTGAACTCTGGAGGAAAGGATCTCAGGTACCTCTTTCTCTGTCTCTCCATATAATCTTGTTTGTTTAATAGCGCTTTGAGAAGAATTTAGCTTTTTGAGGGAGTTTAGCTTTTTCATTTGGTCAAAACAACTAAAATTAATGTTTGGTTAAATGCCTTTTTGCTTTGGCTGATTGGGTGAATAAGCTAAAAATGAAACGCTACAATTAGGAGCGTTTTGTAACAGCTTACGCATATTGGATAAATTTTTCATTTTTGTTTTTGTTTTTTTTTTTTGTTTTTTACTTTTGTTATAACTAATGAGAGTCTTTATTCTTAAATATTAAATTATCAACAAAACAATAGCATTCAGTGTGGTGTGGATGCTCCATTTTTTAACATAACACAACGCATGAGATTCTTTTATAGAATTAATTATGATAACAATAAGAATATTACATGTCATTAATTCTGTAAACATTATTTTAGAATTTTAAAATCATTTATTTGTATGTTCAATCTAATAAAATAATTAAATGATTATAACCAATGTTTATTTATATCAAAATAGTTTCAAGTTAATAATACCAAATATATTTTTATGAACCAATAAGTTACTTTTACCAAACACATTTTTTAAAACCGCTATTACTATCTGCTGGTAAAAAAAGCTGACACAATCCGCTGGTCAAAACAGCTATTACAATCAGTTAATAGTTAACAACTAACGCTAACTACCAAACGATGTGTGTGTGTATGTCTTTGCGTATGTTTTAACCAGCTTGGAAATAGCCTTATGTAAAGTGACCTTAGTTTTAAGAAAGGGAGAACTTTGTGTTGTATCCAGTTCTTGCATGATGTGAAGTTTGGTTCTTGCAGTGGGTGGTTCTGACCAGAAAACATGCCGAGATTGTTGTTCAAGACGACATTGTATACCCTTTGTTTGAGCAGTACTGCAGGGTAAGTTATTTTATCATTTTGTTGTGCGGTCGTACATGGTGGAGAATTTATCTATTAGTAAGGAAGTAATCGTACAAGGGTATACTTTTATGTTTCTTGACAATTTTGGATATTTGTTGAAATATTGACCGTTTTATTCATGATTACAAAAGTAACCCATTGAGGGGATAGCAATAATGTTTTTATGTTTGTTCCGGGGGGAGGTGGGTGTGTTTGTTGCATATGAAGAGGCGAAATAAAAAATTAAATTGCAATATTTTTGTCCTTTTGTTTGTTTTGTTGAGGAGCGGGTAATTGTTCCTACAATGTTGTATGCAATGTAATCTCTTGTTACACGAAATTTATTGAACTGCTCTTTGCTCAACTCCCACAGAGGAAGTCATTACCTGAGTTTTGGCGGCAACATCCCCTTGTAAGTGTTCTATTCGTTTTTTTTCGGTTTCCTATTCTCTCTAGCCTCTTTAGTTTAAGTAACATCTGATATTTTGACGAGTACAAAGTGACATTTTCTGGACATTGCAAATAACTATTGAATCGAATGAAAAAACTAAAATTGCATTCTTCTTTTTCTTCAATGTCACTGTGTGCAGCCTGCGGATGGATCTAAGGAGCATAACTGCATACCAGATGAGCATTATGTTCAAACCTTACTTTTTGTAAGTTATCGATTTTTCATAGACTAGGTAGTTAACATTTGACCGATACCAACAACATAGTCAGCTGTAATGCTGGCGGATCCAAAGTGGGATGCATTGGCCTACTGCCGTCTCCTACCTTAGCCCACTAGCTATATTTTTACTTTATTAAAGAGTAAATTCTTTCTAGTATAGGGAAGTTTTATAAAATTATTCCAATCTTAATTTTTTTTTTCCAATTTTTATATTTGACACCATATCCAACTTGTTTTCTACTTTTCTTCCGTGCATAACATATTAACGTATTGTATTTCATTCTGAAGATTAGATTAGCATCATTTTTTACGATGTTAGATAAATGTAGTAGGCTATGTTTGGTAGCCAAATAAGCTAGTTTATTTGGTTAGCTTATAAGCTCCCTTTATTCAAATAATCCCCATTTGGTAGGACGAACTTTTTTAAAAAGCTCGAGCTTATTTCATAAGCTTCTTTAGTTAACTTTTCAAATAAGCTAGTTGAATTTTTTATTTCAGCTAGCTTATCAGCTAATTTTATCAAATACTTTCATCGTATATAGTGACATAGGTGTATTGGGCCCAGGGGGGTCCATGGGCCCCCCTCATTTTTATTTAAATCAATATATATATATATAATATAAATACTATAAAATATGTATAAAAACGTAAAAAAAAAATAGTTACAATATATTAATAATTAAAAATTATTTTTATGTTAATTTAATTTAATTTATTAATATTATTTAGTTATTAAAAAATGTACTACCAATCCATATATTTAACATTTCTAGATAAGTTTTTGAAAAAATTTATAATGATTTTCGGTCTCTTAATTATAAATTGATTTAATAATTTGTAAAACCCAATATATATTTGAATTGTTACATTTTTTAATGCTGGTTTTTTACTTTACTTTTTTTTTTTGAGTAATAACATATATTTAAATTAAGTTATTTTCTTCTTAAAACCATGTTTATTTGATAAGTTTTGTCAACAAAAATGTTATGCAATGTGCTGCAAAAATTCAATTTAAATCAATTTTTCAACAAAATAACTTATTTGTCCATAAACTATAGATGTTGAACTTAAATTATAAATACATAAAATCTCTTTTATTTTTTATTTGTTTTCTTATAATTTTTTTAAAAGTTGTTTTTACATGAAATGAGTGTTTGGACTTAAACTACATTTTACATTTTTAAAATCACATATCGATATTTATATTTATATTTTATAGTAAATACATTTTACATGAAACGAGTGTTTGGACTTAAACTACAAGCTCGTTATTTAACATTTAAATCGGGCCCCCCTGAGTAAAATTCGTAGATCCGTCACTGTATTTGTATAAGCTTTTCAGCTTAAGTCATAAGCTATAAGCTAGCTTAGGTAATTTTACCAAACATAACCGTAATCTCAATAAGTACATAAATATGATTTATAAATAATATTCGTACATTATATGCATATATATTCCCCCTATATATTAATACAGAATGCGCTGAGCCTACGTGGCTGCTTCTGGTGCTTCGGAATCCTATGTGGCAAAATTACATGCTTCGTTATTAGGCTTGGGTAAATTTTAATTTAATTCCAAACTAAAAATAATTAGGTTCGGATTACCATAAATATGTTGATTCAACATATTTATGGTCATGTTACATGTATTAATTGTATCTTAATATCATTCCTTATTATAACTATTGAATTGTATATATATTTTTAAAGTTAATAACTTTTGTAGTTTTTATCAGTTTTACATATGTAATATATCAAATTAATCTTCTTTTGATGAGCTTCGATTTAACATCCATATTGTATGTATAAAAAAAATTTATATTTATATTTATAACAATAATAAAATTATTTTTAATATTAATTAGAAAAATAGAATTATTTATCAATTAATATATTTATATTTCAAGTAGTTATATGATATAAGTTATAAAAACTAATATAATATAACACATGTAAGTCATAAGTAACACATATCATTCTAAAATATATAGTAATATATTTTTTTTGTAAAAAAGTAAACTAAATTTAATATAATTTTCTCATTAATTTTAAAATTTAAGAATAATTTTTTAACAAGCACCCGTGTAATACACGGGTATTGTACTAGTTTAATAATGTTTCAAAACTCAATTAAAAAATATTATGACATTATAAATTTATTTAAAGCAAGTTAGCCCACCGTAACACAGTTTTCTGGATCCGCCCATGACTTAATTGATTATCCATGTTTGTCCCTGTTTCTTAAACTGATCAGCAAAGAGGTCTTCAAAATGAAATTACAAGGAGGTCCCTGACTCATACTTCATGGGACCTATCATCCTCCAGAAACAATGAAAGGCGAGGATGGCATCCCGTCACTTACAAATTGGCTGATGCTACCCCCCAACTTATCCAGTCCATCAAGGTACATTTGGGATTGCTTTCATTTTTAACCTCTCCAATTTAATGATGTCTTATGGTGAGAACCTACTAATAAAAATCACTGACAGCCTAGAAGCCTACGTGTACATGTAGAGAGTTATATGTAACGCGTTGTGCAGAAGTCATAATTACTGAAGCATGCATATACAGACATGTTTTGAAACTAGTTGGTCGTTAGAAAAGGTGGAAAATGGAAAGAAAAGTTGGAAATGTTTGAGGTCTTCCTTTTTTGGGGGAAAAGAAAAAAGGTTTCACTGCATACATATTAATGCAACTGAGCCTAAAATATGATAAAGGATTTGTTGTGAATCAAATTTTTCATAAGTCCATTTCCATAACAAATTTGCTGTTAGCTATCTAAAGTAAAATCTATGAAACAACAAAAGTGTTGGGAGGAGCTATGCCACTGAAATCAGAAATCAAAACTATAATGGGGAATAATCAAGTAACTTTATGTTCGTCTTAGTGGAGTTATGTCTTTAATCTTCCTCAATCGCAGATATCAAGTGAACCTCGTATATATTGTAAACTGATCAAAATTAAATGGCAAATAATCACCATTGCCTCTGAAATGCAAATTTTTTATTTTTTTTATGTTTATTTATTTATTTTTTTTTTTGGAAAAGATGAACACATTGACCCTACAAGGGGATGCACAACACCACCAAAATATTGAATGTATATCTGCATATACGTAAATGTATTATATACAGCCTAGTGATTTATTTTGCAAGTACAAGGGATATTGGTATCGCTTAGTTTGTGTTCTCCAGGTAAAGCTTAACAAGTCAAATTGAAAGGCATCCATGTAAAAAGAAAAAGAAAAAGAAAATACTTAGCTGATAAGGGACATGGCAAACTTTGATACTCACAAAAAGTTTATGTTTCTAATTTGTCCAGGCTGTAGATAACATCTTCTACAAGTCCGAGAACAGGCGAGAATGGTGCACGAGCAAGGGTAGACCATCTGGATGCTTCCTTTTTGCGAGGAAATTCACACGACCTGCTGCTATTCGCCTCCTTAACATGGTGAGTACTGCATATTCTCTTCGTCTATCAAGTCTTAAATGTGTATAGTCATATTTTAAAGGAAATAGGAATGGTGATAAATGCATTTAAATGGAAAGATTAGTGAATCATATGCGTGTTCTGTAAAACGCTTTGCTCTATTCTGCAGTCTGCTCTCGTCATCTCTACTGAAGCAACAAATGGAGTAACCGAGAACCGCTTAAGAGGAAACGTATAGACACATCGTCTAGTAAGTAGAAAACGGAAAACTGGAATTATATCATGTTGCTGTTGTTGTAAATTAGGTACATACCCAAATTTCGTGGACTGGGTTTGTTTCTGTTTGTCTATCACTTCAAAATGTAACTAATTTTAGTAACCGTGTATAAAACGAATACTACAGCTCACGCAAACACTGAAAATGAATGTCCCTTTACACTAATAAAAAATTAAAGTAAATTGACATTAAATCCGAACTTTCCCATTATTTTGTTTACCTTGTCCTTAATGTTGTTTTAAACAAAGTTAAAAATTAGATATGTTCTGAATCTCATTTCTTCATCTACCAATTTAAAATATATTACTCATCTATTTACTTCTCTCTATAATTTTTAAATAAAAATAAAATATTTCTTTAAATTTATCTATAAAATTTATTATTTGTTCGCACACTTTATAATTATTGATGGTTATGTGCCATCCGGATCGTCTTGACTGTTGCCAGTTTGCCACTCATATAGATTATGAGATTTGGTTATCAAGACACCATTCCTTAACACAAGTCTAAAGGAATAAATCTGTATACCACAACCAAAAGAGTTCGTCTCAAAGGTTTAAGAGCATTTGGTCTATAAGCTAAAACGGTCCATTTATGGACTAAAACAAGCATTGACGTCTTAGAACATTTGAATGGATGAGGTAATCCAATCGTATATATTTATTCAGCTTTTTGATGAACATTACGTATACAAGAAAAGTGACATAAACATGGTGGCATTTTTTGCACTACAAGTAGACGACATCATTCTCACTGAAAACAATGTAAAAGTGTTGTCAGACATGAAAGTATGGTTGTTCAAGCAGTTTGATATGAAATACTAAGCAAGACATATTCTTGGGTTCAAAGTCAAGAAAAAATGTTATGCTTATCCCGAGCTTTGTACATAGATAATGTCCTGGTCTGGTTCAACATGTACAACTCCAAGAAATGTTTTCTATAATTCAACATGGAGTGCTCTGTCCAAGGATAACTCTCAAGACATAAGAGATAAAGGACATGTAGACATTTTCTTATGCAACGACAATAGAATACATGCAATGGTGTACGAGGATGGATCACTGTTATGTTGTGGGCATGGCTGAAAAATATCAAAGTAACCCAGGACAAAGACATTGGTCTGCAGTAAAGCATATACTCAAGTAAATGAGTAGGACTAAGAATTACATGCTAGTTTACCAAACAAATGAATTGGTGTCTCTAGGTTATACTATTATGGCTTTCAATCATATCGACATGAAAGTAAATCTACCTCAGGGTATGTGACTGCGCGTCACGTGGCAAATTTAAATCTATAAAGTTTTCCTTAAACAAACCTTCCTAATTATAGTAGCATCAAGTAAGGGTCGGACCCACGCTAAGTATAAATTAAATTGTGACTATTCTCGTATTAATCGAATTAATACTAAGAAAATTACGGGGGGAGGGGAGGGGGGGGAGGGGGATTTGTAAAAAAATAAAAATAAAAATAAAAATAAAAAAAGTTAAATGTAATGAGGAAGATCTTTCGGTTCAATTATCACCCAATCTCCATATATCGTTAATTAATTTCAACAACTTCTTTTAATTGCCAATTGATATGAGATATTATTCCAGGCCGACTTTAATGGATAAGAAAAAATATATTGGAATAAACTCACATATGGGCTAGGACACATGACATAATGATATGGGTCAAACCCAACTTGGGCACTAAGGTACGACCCCCATAAAAGGGAGCTAAGATATCTCAAAACTTCATTCCCTCTACATTTAGAATTATACTTTTGAGATTTGGAGTTTGGAGTGATATTGACTTAGGTATCGGAGGCCTGACGCCGAGACCCCCCTCTCTCCCGGCGTTGGGTTCTTGATGGTATGAAGACCGTCCAAGTTGAAGGAGCTCGAATGAAATCCATTTCACCAACACCAATAACTATCAACCGTAGTTAACAACAAACGCTGTTATCCGAATTTTTCATTGTTGAATATTTAATCTGATATGGGATATTATCTCCACAAGGGCAAACCGGTCTGCTGAACCGGTCGAAGGAACTGTATCACGAGGAAGCCGAACCAATCTAGCGGTAATCGAGCAAGATGACGATGGTCGAACACCTTGAAGGTAAGACCTGGAAGACTCTAGGACAGACAGCGTATCACAAGTAGCTGAAAGACAGACATCGTATCACAAGTAGCTGAAAGATCGACCAGTCAAGTAGTCGACTAAACTTAACTAGTGGACACTCTAGAATAAAGTCTCTAGATATAATAAATTCGCTACATCAATTCCTAGGAAAATAGATTAATCTAAGCAACAGACGCACACGTTCGGACCGTTTAACTTCTATTTAGGCTACCATAGAGATGTACGAGCCCTAATTTACTACTAACGGAACGAGAACAATAACAATTACAGATTAAATTCTCGTATTCAACACATAATCTATGAATATTTAACATAGCCGATCGAACTAAATCAAACAAACATAATTTATAGACAATAAAAATAGATAACATGAATCAATTCATTAACAAAACAAATACGACGCTTTTATTAAACAACGAAAAATAAAGATCCTTCATAAACAAATTGAAATTAGGGTTCAAAACATCCATTCAAACTAGATAAAATAATTATTCTAATATAGTACTAAAAATAAATAGTAGAAAAAAGAAGTTATCTCCCTCAAATGCGGGTGCAGCTTCCCTCCGCGGTGTGAATCTCCCTTAGTCCGTGCGTAGATATATATGCCTTTCTATGGCGTGAAATCCTCCATAGGAAATTAATTCCCCTCAACCCAATTTTTATGTTTATGAATAGACCTTTTTGACAAAATAGTTATGCTCCCAAATAATTATTTTAAGTCCATAATTATTATGTTCGGTGATATGAGAAACGTCGTCGATATTCACATAATAAAAATAAACCCTAAAGCACCAAAATCTATAGATAGGATTAGGACTTACAGTTTAAAAATTTTGCCAATTCTCAGACGTTTCTGATTTCTGCTATTGGAGATCGTTTAAAGCTCAAAGTACGTTGGGTTGCCGGACTTGACCTCGCCATCACATCTTCGGTTGCTCATCGGGCCTGTCGGACCATCTCGGACCTTCTGTGGGTTAGTCAGACCGCTCGGGACTCGTCGTGGGCTCGCTGGGACTCCTAAACTGCTGCTGAACCGGCTAGACAAAGTTTGGACCGGTCGAGACTGGGTCGCGTGAAAAGCAGGGGTCGTTCTAGGTCTACACGGGTCTGACAGCGCGAGCCCCGCACGACTGTGTGCTGAAGGTGCTTGGGCGGCGGGTGGGGCTCTAACACTAGTGTGTACGGGTGTGATTGGTGGTCCTGGGCTAATCGGTGGATCAGGCTTGCTCCGGCGGTTCTACATCTGAGGTGTTGCGGGGCTGCATATATTCGCATGATACATATCTTCTTTGGGATTCAAATACATAACCTTGGGATCTTCTATTGTATGACCTTTACACCTTCTCCGATTAGTCTTGGTGGAGTGATTAAACGAATCTCTCAAATCCTCTTAACTTTCTTCTCTTATAACCTCTCGATTTTATCCGAATTTTCCAAAGAGAAGAACTCTCTCTTCTACATGATTTTGGACGTAGGGAATCTGATTTAGGCATGTGTATGAGTGTTTGTATGTGTAGAATCATCACCTTGGAGGCTATGAAACTTGGTGTATTTGTAAGCTACAATAGGAACCCTATGGAGGTGCTAAATATAGACTTTTCTAAATAGGAATAGAAAACTTTATGTCTTCCAACTTATTAACATTCTGAAAGTCCTTAAGTCGTTCAACTTGTTGACCTTCTAGAAGACCTGTTAACATTCTAGAAGACATCATGTTTTTATTCCTTATTTGATTAAATAATAAAAAATTTCAATAGAGTAATATTATTGCACTCCACATTTAGCTCTGAATTACAATTAATTCGTTTCACGACTAATTTCTCGATTTTAACTTCCCGCGTCTCGCCCCACCTTTTTTGTTACAGGCGGAGAATGGGAGGAAAACCTCGATCGAAGTACTGACACAATGAGCTTTATTATATTCGCCAAGTATATTTTGTGGTGTTGTGGTAGGTGGTACGTATATAAATTCAACGTTGACTGAGGGTAATTGCGTCAGAAAAAATTACTTTTAGGGACATTTTAGACATTTTGACAGAAAGTACTATGCACATGGCATTCAATCTCATCCCTTAGCCTAGAGCAAAATAGTCCCCCATAATCTGCGATTAAACCAATTTGCATCGCGGGCCTCATCTAGTTGGGCGGGCCGTAATCTTGAAAACAAACGACCAATTATGGCCAGATTTGGACCACAATCTTGTCTGTCTTGCAGGGCCGGCCCCGACATTTTTGGGGGCCCCTGGAGAAAATTGGGTAATGGGCCATTTCTTCATCACATAAATTTAGTTTCTATCATAAAAAATGTATTTTTTTTCTATATATAAGTCAAAGTAGAATGTCACTACAAGACTTCAAATTAAAATATGAATACATTGTTTGAGCCAATACATATCTATCGAGGGCATTTCCACTACTATTACATCCTCCGATCTTGAATACTTGACCCTTGAAATCTTGACCAAAAAGCCTACTGAAATAATTTGGACCTTCTTGCATTTTGAGAAGCAAAATCATCAATCATGTCATCAAAATTAATTCTTTTCAGCACTTCATTTTCAATCCATAATATTGCTAATTCATTTAATATGTAAATATTGCCAATCCATTTAATCTTTCTTGAGACATATATGAACGCAAGTACAATTTTATTAATTTTAACTTTGAAAAACTTCTTTTCGCTAATGCTACAGTAATAGGTATTGTTAACAAAATTTTATATGCTATAGAAACATTAGGCAAACAATCTAAATATTTGACAAACTCAAGTACCTCCATGACTGACTTCATTTCTGGTGGTAAGCACATTTGTAGCACTTGTAATTCCCGTTGATGCTTCCAATTCCTAAAATAAAGTGACTTTTATTTTTCGTTTATTCTATTGTTTATGATTATTGTCTTATTGGTAGGCTTGGGCCAATAAAAGCTAATTTTTTATGTGGACTTTTTAA